ACTACAAATGCTTGCACTTCATTGTTGAAGTAATAATTGAAATATGTTAGAAATTACTACATGAAAGATTATTTTAATGAACTATTATTTTTTTTTATTTCATTGAATTAATTCTATAATAAAAGAGATAAGTCAATCAAATAGAATTATAGCAATCATCATCTACACCTGCAACATCTAGAATTACAGCTATATCTACAGCTATGCCTGCACCTACAACTACATACTATCTGCATACAGGCCTAGTTATCAAAAGATTCCTCTCTTTAAAAGCTGCATTTTTACTATGTTGTTTGATGGCATCAATTCTGATAAATTACATGTTAGATACTATGTAAAGTTTTACAACATTAAAAGCCTATTATTATAAGAGACAAATTAATAGAATTTATCAAATAGAATTGTAGTGAACACTACTGCAAACTATATTCACAATAGTGTTCCATGTTGCAATCCAAAAAAGGAAACAAAATGGTCGTAAAGGTGGTTGCAACAAGTGGTTGCAATCATTTTTATATGATGCAAAGGTGGTAGCAACCATCATCAAAAGTTGCAGCCAGTATCCTTAATCCATAACTTTATCTACACCTGCAACTATATCTACTTTTGCAACTATATCTACATTGCAATGATAATTACAATGAAAGATGGTTGTAAATCAAAGAAGATTTTATTTAAAGAAATGAATAGTTATTCTAGAAATTTTTGTAAGGATTTTGATGACATTATGAAAGACTTTGTAAACCTGTCACTAGTATATCTATATCATACAGTAAATTTATGAATTCCATTATATATAATAATAAAACAATTAAAATCATAAAATTTAATTTATTATAATCACCATATTACAATGTAGTTTACCAAAAATAAAAAATTTAATCACCATATACAATATAATATAGTTTGCCAAAAATAAAAAATTTAATTCATATAATCACCATATACAATATAGTTTGCCAAAAATAAATTTAGTTAATTATAATAATCACTATTTACAATATAGTTTGTAAAAATAAAATAAAATCAATTGAAAAAAAAAATATAATCAATTAAAAACATTTATAATTGACATATTTCTTTTAAGAAACAATAGCTTAGATACACTATCTGTTGACAGGCAATTTCTTTTTTTTGTAATATGGTTTCCAACATCCGAAAAAAGCCTTTCTGATGGCACAGATGTCGCACTCACACATAGATATTCTAATGCAAGCTCTGCCATCAAAGGAAACTCATTTTTTCTATCAGCCCACCATTTCAAGGGATTAATATTTCTAGGAATACTTTGAATTTCTAAATATTTTTTTAATTCATCATCATCATGACAATAATCATCAAGGCTATTATCAAACACAGAATCAAAAATTGTTGGTCCATCCATAGCACAATGAATATTATTTGATGTATTTATGTATTGTTGTAATGCTAGTGGTGATGATTGAGAATATAATGATTGTTGTTGTAGCATTGGTGGTGATGATTGAGAATATAATGATTGTTGTTTCAATGTTGGTGATGATAGTTGAAAATATAATGGTTGTTGTTCTGGTGTTGGTGATGATAATAATTGAGAATATAATGATTGTTGTTGTATTGTTGATGATTGAGATTGTTGTTGTGGTGTTGGTGATAATTGAAGGTATAATGATTGTGATTGTTGGTTTTGTAACTGATGATTATTTTTTTTTTCATTTAATTTGTTTGAAATTAAATTATAAATATGATCTTTCTCATTCTCTTGTAAAAATTTTAAATGTTTGAATCTAGGATCCAAAACAGACAATATTGATCCAATTTCTGACGGAACTGACCAATAATGAAGTAGAGAATTGTATAGGACATCAACCAATTTTTCAAGTAAACCTTCAGTATTTACAGGTTTGGAAATATTTAATTTCCTTTTTTCCTGTCACCATTAACCTCTTCAAAAATAATACCTTCATTTTCAATTTCACCTTCCACAAGAGGAGACTCTCCTTGTTCATCATTATATGATTCTAATTCAGTCAACAAATCATGATCATCTATTGGAGGAATATATTCATCATCATATTCTGTATTAATATTTGTGTTATTTGTATTAATTTTTTTAACTTTTTCTATTAAAACCCTTATTGTAGGATATACTAGTGACAGGCTAACAAAGTCTCTACTACTAAATAATTTTGTAATGTCATCAAAATCCTTCAATATTCTCA